CTGTAAATATATCTGTATATAACATTTGTACACATCTATTTCAGCAAAGCTGGATTCACACTCCAGAGAGAGCCTGTAGCATTACTGTGTCAGTCTTGTATTGCTGTCCTGATTCATCAGACATAAACATCTCTCATTGGGTTATGCTCTTCTAAGTTTAAAACAACTACAAAGATTGTCACTTTATCACTTAATTCTGAACCTAAATTATCTTTAGATTTCAAAGATCTACTTCCTAAGTATTTAGAGACATATACATGTACAGATACACTTTTAGGAAGGAATATACTAAAGGTTTCTGTTTGGGTTTTGTTTTGTTGGTTTTTGTTTCCTAAACATTGCTTTTTATTTGCCACTTTTTAGAATAAATTTTCTATCCTCATGCTTTCTTTGTTTTGTTTAAATCATCAGGGTTGCTATCAGTGTTTTCCAGACATGGAATGGTATCAAAAGTGTTATAAGAAGCTGTGGAGATGTGAGCAGTAACTGGACAAAGCGGCTCACTGGCTATGGAGGCTGGGTATGCTCTCTCCCTTTTCTCCCACCTTTTTGTTGGCACGTAGGCAACAGGAGCACCTGACTCCCTTGTACTGTCAGGGAGTGAAGTGTATCATGTGGCTTCAGGCTGGGGTTTATCCCTTAGTTTGTTGGTACCCCCTCAGTGCCCTGGTTTTTTTCTCTTTAGGCTGAAATTTCTCATTTAAAAACTACCCAAATCCCACACAACTCGCGGGGTTCCGTTCAGAGGGGAGGCACCTGCCACTGTCAGATGCTGGAAGGTTCTCCCTGGGGAGATAAGCAGAGCTGCTGCTAGCAGTACTTACCCAGAGAAAAAAGAGTAGGATTCTTTAGTGGCTGGAGCCCCCAGTAAAACCTATAAATATATCTGTATATAACATTTGTACACATCTTCTATCTCAGCAAAGCTGGATTCACACTCCAGAGAGAGCCTGTAGCATTACTGTGTCAGTCTTGTATTGCTGTCCTGATTCATCAGACATAAACATCTCTCACCTCATCTCTGACTCCCTCTGCATTTCTGCAGCAGAACTGGATCCTGCTCTTGGGCCTACACTGACGTCCAACATGGGCATTCTTCTAGTTTCCTTACACCTTCTTTTTGCTGCTTGTTATTTCTAATTACCAACCCCTTTCTTCCCACAGACTTGCAGGCTTCCTGTCAGGTGCCTCTGCCAGAAGCTGGTGCCTGCAGCCTTGCTTGTTGCTGCCTTTTGGTGGGCCATGAATTATGGACTGTAGAATTAGCACACAGAATTACCACAGGAGGTCATTGCTGGGCACTGACCAACATCACTAACACCCCAGTGGTGGCAGCTGGTTTGTTTTTCAAATTTACACTGATAAAAATCTCTTTAATATTTAAACCTAGGCGAGTGCTGGGTCACTGCTGTTTCATATCTTTTTTAAAGAAAAAACTTTTAAAATAAGGAGGTTGTTGCTGGATAACTGCCTGACTTGCTAGTTTCGAAATGTGACTCCACGCATTTAGAAAGTCTGTCTTTTTTGTGTTTATTTTAATGCAACATAAAGTGTCTATTTCCTATAAATGAGTTTGTTAGATTGTGGATGTGAGGAAAACTGAAGGCATGCTGGCCATCCTTTAAATGTTAACACTGTAAAAGCAATAGTAAAGATTAAAACCATGATACTTTTTTAAAATTAAATTGTTGCTTCAAAGCTTTGCAGTGTTGTCTGCTTTATTTTCCAAGACTGCTATCAAACATAAATGGCAGTATCTTCTTCCCCTTTTCAAAGTAAAACTAGGAGCTGCCCAGAACAAAACCCCAAGAATTGATGGATTTCGAGAAGGGATTTTCTCAGAGGATGCATGTCTTTTTGCGAGGCACGTGCTTGGGGACAATAGAAGTCTGAGGGGAACATGAGCACAACTTACAGGATGAAGATGGCCGAGATGTCACCCTCCTAGACTCCATGGGTGGCCATTAGGGCACAGCTGAGTTTTTCCTCTCTCAGCATCTCCCATTTGTGCCTGGTTATCCTCTCTGTATCTGAGTGCATCTTCTCTTTTTGCTGTTGAAGCTGGTTTTCAGTATCCAGCTATAGACTCTCTCAGTGAGAGAAAATGAAAGTGCAGCTCTGTGGTTTGGACATTCCCCTCAGCACAGGGGATGCCTGTTTTTTCCCTAACAAGCAACTCCTACCCTCAGCGTATTTTTAAAACAGGAGAATACAATATTCAATGGATTTGTGATCTAAGCACTCATCAAAGAAGTTGGAGTGTCAAGTTCGAGTCTCTGCTGTAAATCAACAAGGAATTTAAACCCCTCTTTAGTGAAGACAAATGCCAAGTCAAGCCAAATTTAAGCATGTTGAGGAACATGCTTCCCCTCTTTAATGAATGATGCCTAAATACCATTATGATGCTAACTGCTCATCTCAAAAAATGTTTCTGGGGGAAAAAAAAAAATGAAGCTTCACTAGACTACTTCATTTGACCATTTTATGCAAAGGATTTTGAATTATCTTTGAATGACTTGAAATGTAGAGCAAAAGGAAAGCAGGCAAAGAAGGAATATAAAGGGTGATGGCTCCAGCATATCCCAGAAATTCAAGCAGAAGCAGCTGCAGCAGCATATATTCCAGTGTCACATTATTCCAAAATGCTCTCAAGGTGATGTGCCCTTCAGCAGCAGGTAGGCAAGTTTTTTCTAGAAAAGCACAGTTCACACACCTGGAACTGGAGTAACATACAGGCCAGAAGCAGGTCCACATAGCCAAGAAAACAGACTAAAGTTTTGTCAGTGACTACTCCATTGAGCTCTATAATAGCAGTGTGATAGAAAAATATGTTAAAGTTATTCTTTAGTAAAGGGTAAAATTTAACATCAGTAGTGTCTAATAAATTCCTATGCATTTATTAGATATGCCTCATATTCATATGTAATAAAAGTACCAGCTGTGAAAAAACTGACTCTTCCCAGCTGAATCATTTTAATACTACCAAGTAATTATTTCTAGATAAATAACCTTTATGCACAGGGGAGCAATGATGAATGGAAGACTCTTCACTGCCTATTTCATCCAAGAGGTCTGTGGGGTGATTCTCCTTTTTCCCACTCTTGTGTTGAATCACAAGAGAGGAGAATTTCATCATCCACCATGTATGGAGCAAAACACAGTCTCAAGGAATACAAAATTCAGTCTCAGCAAAGAAACAAGTGAAACACAAAGCAAATGGCATCCAAAGCCACAGCAATCAGCACTAACTGGAGTAGCAGGGAGCACTCAGTGCCAGGCTCTTCTTTCACCTGTGGAGCACAGTTAGTTAATCCTTTAGTCACAGCCCCACAGTGACTCAGGGGACCCAACATTAATTCTGTTTTTTTTCACTGCACACTTCCTGATATGTGACAGCATTTACAGCACTTGATTTTCTTCCACATCCTGTTATGCTTGTTCATAGGCGAAGGAGCCACACTGGTTTCTCACCTCTCAAACATTCAGTTTCCAGAAGCAGAGGGGATAGAGAAGCAAGAGCAAGATCCAGGATTCGTAATTACTTGGGCACTCTCTGCCCAGGCACAGGCAATGTTACAGCGCATGTGAGGGGAGGCTATGCTGACAGGCAGAACAAAAAATAAAGCCCTGAACACTCTCCATACAGAGGTACAAACACCTCCATGACACTGCCTCTGCTCCTAGGAATTGCAACATCAGCACAAGAACATGATTCCCTCTGGCTTCTGGTTTTGGAGAAAGTAAGTTGACTGAGGAGCAGCCTCGGCTCAACCACTGCACAGAAAAAAAGCAAACACCCAACAGTGGTGACGGGTCCTTCTTCCCACTAAACAAGACCCACAACACTGGAATGCTCTTATGATACAGGTTTCCCTTCAGCATTCTTCAGCTGACAAAAGCGCAAAGGTTATCAATGGTTTGCAAACAAGAGATTTCTAGCATGGATTTCCCAAAGAGTTTTAATTCCTAGCAAAGTGTACAACAAAATGGAATGAGGGGGGAAGAAAAGAAAAAAAATTATGGCAAGAACACTACAAATAGAAAACAGGTCTCCAACATTTCCTCAGAAAGGTTAAATAATTAAAAAGAAAGTCCAGAACTTTCAAAGCACTAAAATTAGTGCCACCAACATACCACGCTCAGTTTCAGCTATCATAAAAGCTGGTTTGAAGGTCATCAACGTTGCATTTGGTCCTACATGGTGCAGTCAGAAACTTCTAACACAGGACAATCCAGTGTTTAATAATGTGAATGGGATTTAGTTGCAATATTCTAACCAATAATTCTAACTGAAGATTTTTGTATACTTTTCTGAATAATTAACACCTTACCTGTAACACAGGAACCTTCACTGGAATAATTTTCTTTACAGTTTTTCCAACCTTTGATCATCAGCCTCTAGCAGTTGAATGGTGAAGCTGAAAAACTCTGCAGTACTTTACTAATTGTTACTGTTTACACATGCTAAAAGTGGAATTTGTACTGTGAGGGCAGGCACAGCTGCCAGCTGCAGTCCACAAAAGAACTATTTAATAATACAGCCCACTTAGCAATGATAAGGGCCAGTGTTTTTAATTCACTCTCCCTGTCATAAATGTGAAATTACAGAATGATTGGTACTGTAATTGGAAGTTCTCCTGCATTTCATAATAACTATTGAAGACACTGTCAGTCATTTGATTTAAGTAATATATCCCAATTTTTTTTTCTATATATCTGTTAAATACAGCATTAAAATACCAAAATAAAAAATATACACTGGGTAATGGGAAGCTCTTTCCAGGAGGGTTTGGGACAGCTCATCATTTTGCTCTCCAGCTCATCATTTCCTGCTGCCAGGAAATGTACATAATATTTTTGTAAAGCTTTTTTTCCCAGTGAACATTTCTTGTGTAACTTAGCACAACCAGTGTGGCATTGGACAACTGGAGGGAAAGTTACTTCCATCCACATGTGAACAGATGCACCCCAAAGCATTAAAAATAGCAAGAAAAGCTTCAGTTTATTTATAGTTTAATGTTAAGAAAATAATGTTTCTAGTAACATCATCTGCCTCACTCAGCTGCTGCCTGGCAATGTGGACACAAAGTGAAAGAACTTTACATAGATGAACACCCCACAAGCCATATGAGTAAGAAAACAGGAACACCAACACAATGAAAGCCCTCCCAACAAATGGCTCCTCTCAATGCACCCTCCAGCCCAGAGCAGAGCCCTCCACAACCTGAAGCCAACAACCCCTGCATTCCTGCACATCCCTGCACTGGACCGCCAAGGCTACCAACCAGAACCTGAATCCACACCCAAAAATCTCCCCGAAAAAACAACCAAACAAAACCAAACAACAACAACAACAACAAAACCACCCACGAGGCAAAGTTGCTTGCAGGATTGAGGCCAAACAGTGCTACTTGGCCTGTTCGTTGACAGCTTTGCAGTCTTGACACATATGGAAGAGCCAAACTTTGCTCTCCCCTTTCCACACCTGAGGAACTCAAAGGAAAATGTTCATTGCAATTATGCACATAGTGAGTGCTCTTTACATCATGAGAAGCCATGAATGTTTAAGACTCCCTTATTTGGGAGCACAAAGTTTTAAATCAGAAAAAAACTGAGTTGTGTGGATTTTTCTCAAAACATTATTTAAGTCTCCACTGCTTCATCATCTTCCAGAGCATCTACATGTTTATATTGTTTCCATGCCTTTAAATTACATTGTTTGAGAATGGCTCCTAGTTGATTCCCGGGCCCCACTTCATATGTGTAAGGAAATTCTGTTCCTTGCTTTCTTTCGTACACTGAATGCATGGTCTGCTCCCACAGAACAGGTGACACCACCTGCTTCACTAACAACTTCTGAATGTGCTTTGAGTGCATGTACTTTTTGCCATCGACATTGGAATACACACAGAGCAGCGGTTTCTGAATTTCAATTGATTTTAGGACTTCAGCCAGTGGCTCTACTGCTGGTTCCATAAGTCTGGTATGAAAAGCCCCACTGACTGGAAGCATTTTTGTACGTTTAAAATAATATTTTCGGGCATTCTCCTGCAAAAACTCCAAAGCCTATAAAAGAAAGAGAGAAGTGAGTCTTGCACAACAAAGGTTTTCTCAGTCACCCCACAAGAATCACCTCATCAGACTTACTGTGATAAAGGGATTCCCTTTATCAGTTGCTCCCTACCCAACAACTGAATGCATGCTGGGAAAAAAAAAACCCACAGATCAAATACTTTTGTCTGGACAAACTAAGGCCATACGTAACACCCACACAGAAGTGCAAAGTAAGAGTTTTTAAAAAGTTAAATGCTCAGTTCAACGTTCCCTACCCAACTGAATGCATGCTGGAAAAAAAAAAACCCCACAGATCAAATACTTTTGTCTGGACAAACTAAGGCCATACGTAACACCCACACAGAAGTGCAAAGTAAGAGTTTTTAAAAAGTTAAATGCTCAGTTCAACGGAAGGAGTAGTTACTCTGAAGCAATACCTGTAAGTGTCCTGCAATGACTCTGCTGTCTGGAAACAAATAGTTTGAAACTGTGCACACGGGGTTCTCTATACCCAGCGATTCACAGTGTTTACGGGCTTCCAGGCAGGCAAATTTGTAATTTGCCTCTCGCCGGCCGACAACCGAGAGCATTCCACTGGGGACAGCTTCTGACGCCTTTTGCATGGCTTCGGCGCGCACTTTCACCGCGTACAGCGCTACGGAGAGAAACAGAGATGCTGCGTAAATATGAGCGCGGGCACCTGCGCGCAAGAAAGGGCAGTTGTTCACTCGCTGTGAAACGTCAATGCTTTTAATGCCGTATTACACACGTTAAAGCAAACAGCCGAAGTAAAATTTATCCTCTAATTAAAAATAAAAGCAGGAGGGACACAGTGATAATAACAGGCAACACTTTGGAAACAGCACGGGCCCGGGCTGGGAGATCCTAGCAGGGAGTTCCGCATGTCCCCCAGGCACCTTCGGCAAAGCCCAGGGCTCCAGCGAAGACCAGGGCCGCGAACTCCCCCACGCTGTAGCCGGCGGCCGCCACGCAGCGCTCCACGACCTGCGGGGACACAGAGCCGAGCGCTGCCTCAGCAGCACCGCGGGGCAGGCCCGAGGGGCCACCGCCCCGACCCCCCACGCCCAACGCGGCCCCTCACTTCAGGCTGCAGGTGGTTGAGCTTCTCCACGGCGGCCAGGGAGGCGACGAACACGGCGGGCTGGCAGTGCTGGGTGCGGTCCAGCGCGTCCTGCGGCCCCTCCAGGCAGAGGGAGAGCAGGTCGTAGCCCAGCACCTTCTCGGCCAGGCGGTACATGTCCCGCACGCCGGGATACTGCTGCAGCCCGCGGCACATCCCCACGAACTGGCTGCCCTGGCCGGGGAAGAGCAGCACCGTGCCCTCCCGGGGGCACCGCCGCTCCCGCCTCGCCGCCGCCGCGCCCGGCTCCTCGGCCTCCACCGAGCTCTGCAGGAGGTCGCTCAGGGTCGCCGCCCGGTCCCCAGCGCCGGGGCGGGAGCTGCCCCACCGCCGCGCAGCGCCGCGGAGGCCGCCGCGCCCGCTGCAGCCACCAAGCCGCCATGGCGCCGCGGCCCAGCCGCCCATGTCCGCCGCCCGGGAACGGGCGTTGCCACGGGAACGGGGCGGCCCCCGCCGGCAGCCGCTGCCGGGCCGGGCGCCGGCAAAGGGGACGGGAAGAGAGGGAGGGAGGGAACGAGGGAGATCGGTCGGGCCGCCCCGGCGCTCGCCGCCCTCAGCCTCGCGCGCCGCCCTGGGCCCGGCCCGCGCCAGGCGCCTCCGCCCGCCCAGCACCGAAAGCCCGCCCCGGAGCGTGCAGCCCCAGGGGCGGTGCTTGGCCGTCCGGGCAGAGCAGGAGCGACTGGCGGCAGCAGCAGCGCGGCACGGGAGGAGGTAACGCCGGCCCTGCCCGCGGCACGGCTCGGGACGGGACGGGACGGGACGGGACGGGACGGGACGCTGCTCACCAGGAGGGGCCTCCCGCCCCCGCGAGGGTCCTGGCGCTCCCGGAGCGCTGCCGCCGCCGGGACCCCGCCGCGCCCCGGGCTCCCTCGGCTCCCCCGCGGGTCGGCGGAGAGGATTGGGGGAGCGATCCCGCTTCCTGCTTTTGGCGACAGCCCCGTGTCGACCAGCCGGGATCCCCCGGGCAGGACGGGAGCTACGATGCCGGATGGAGACGGGCGGGGCGGGCCCCGCTCACGGGCGGACAGGTCTTGGGCAAACACTCATGGCTTTTCCGTGCTGGCGTTTAGCATGGAAAGTGCTTTAAAATAAACAAACCAAACCACCAAGCTATGAAGCTTGTTCTTAATTTTGATCCGGCACACGAGCTTTTCAGTGGTTCAGCTTTTCAGACAGCTGTGCGCGCACGGCAGAAGGGCAGAACCTGTTCCTCCGGTCTCACCGGGCCGGCGGCTCTGCCGCGCACATTCGCTCTCGGCACTCGGGAGAAGTTTTCACGCTATTTACCTAAAGGTGTATCTTCCTTCACTGTCGCCGAGGAACATTTCTTTAAGGGTGAAAGAAAGGGCTTTGGTTTTCAATTCCGATTTTTTCAGTGATACTTATAAATCAGCCCAAAATGCACTGTGATATAATAGGAGCGTTCAACGCACAGATAAATTTTTTTTAAAAGCGAAAGTTGGCGTGCCGGAGTTTGCAATTGTGTAACGACTTTGCATGAAGTAAAGGTTGTGAAACAGTATCAGGCATTGAGTCAGAGCAGCTCAGTAAAACAGACTGTTAAGTACGGCTTGGGAGAAGGAAAATGTGTCATAATAGCAGGAAATTATGTTGACTTTTTATTTTTCTCACTTTTCTATTCTCTGTGCTATTTTGTAAGATGATTTCTTCCATTTGTGTCAGCCTCTAGGTAAAATATCTGGAAGTGAGCTGCTCAAGTTAGCTGAAATGTATGGGCAGTAACATAGGAGATATATGACATATATGTGACCATATCCCAGCCCGTGGCTGCCTCTACCTGTAACAAGCATCAATGAGAAGAGATTGAGAGTAAATGGCAAATTCTCCCGGCAAAAATCTTGCTCCAGTATGCACTTCAGTTCCCTGTATGTGAATAAACCATAGATTTATTTGCACAACTTGTGCTCTGCCATGTTGAAATCTCACTAGGGAGTGAGATTTTTTTTGTTTTCATCTGTACACTTTGCATTATAGTCTTCAATAAATACAATATTTTAAAAAATTACAAATACATATTATAAACATATATTATACACTTATTAGATATTTATATTCTATTTATATCCTATAACATTTATTGTTTGAAGTGTCTCTATTACTTGAGATTAGATAGCCTGCTTTTTTTTGTGGTAGCTGTATTTTTTTGTCATAGGCTGTGATATAAATTTGATTTTAGTGTTGCAGCTTCCCAAGAATTAAACCCACAACACACATAAATAGTTTATCAATATAAATTATGTTGTCTTTAATTTTTCAGACAGCTATCTTGGGAAGAAGCCTTCTTCCAGGGGAAAATTTGCATGGTGCCTCTCAGACCTGGGCAGAGCCTTATTTGCCCTTAAAAGAAATGTATGGTAGAGGATGAGAGGGAGAGTATCTGTCTTGGGGACCCCCTTCCATGGTATGGTCCCAGCTTTGTCAGTCTGTCTCCAAACACTGGGCACTGGGAACCCCCAGGGCTGCCAGGGTGATTTAGCCCTGCTGGGAGATGTGTTTTTAATGCAATTTTTAAGCCACATGTGATTGGGTAGCCAGTCCCAAGCTGCACAGAATGGAACTAATCAGAAGTTTTATCAGCACAGGGCTATAAGAAAATGGGATGAAAGCAGTTCTCCTTTCCTACCTTCCTTCTCCTTCCTGCTGACAGAATGCCCAGAGGAGGGAAAGGCACCTGTCTTTCAGAGACCTCCTCAAGGCAAGGAAGTGCTTCAGTTCATTTTTCATCAGGCTGAAGCAACCCAGCTGCTCTGTCGTGATATATCTAACCCCACCTACAGAGCAGCCTATCCCTTTCTTTGGATGCACAGTATTTTTTCCAGAAAGAGGACACAGAAAGCTTCTGGTAGTTTTTTCTTCATGTTATGCCACCATAGAAAAACAGCAGAGAGAAGTCCATTAGGCAGCAAGTTTAACTACTGCAGTTTTTTTCCCCTTTATTTCTCCTTTTACTTTATGTAGCTGGAACTAACTTTGGGCAAGTCAGATATTTTGAATACCTAGAATAATTGCTCTAGCATGCATGTAAAGCAAAGAAGCCCTCACTACACTGCTGCAACTGCCTGATGTCACACTAGGGCTAAACAGAAAAGGGGCAGCATGATGAAGAATATGTTGCAGGGCAGAGATAAAGATAAGAAGTGGAAAAGAAGTAAACAAGTTAAGTGTGTATGAGAAGAAAAGATTTCCAACCTTAATGGTTCTTAGAGGCAGATATCTGCTGGGTACACTGCAGATATCATTCAGAGACATCCAGCATTCTTCAGTATGAAAATGAGGGTGCAAGAATATTGTGCAACTCACCCTGGAGCTGGGATATGATTGGGAAAGTAGTTATTTTTTCTAGGTTGAGTAATGCTGCTGCAGCCAGTGGGGCTGTGTTAGCAAGTCTGTGGTGTTTAAGTTCTCACCGATTCATTTCAGATCATCAGCTGTACACTGAAAGGAAGGCAGGGCTGATGAACCTCTGTGCTCACATTACCTTTAGAAAATGTACAGGGTGTTCTGTAAACATTGCACAGCTCTTTTACTGCACAGGTAAACAAAGACTGAAGCACTGGCCAGTGCACTGACTCTCCAGTGCATCTTACCTTTTACTCATTCTCTTGCTAAAGACCTACATCAGGTAACCAGACACAGACAGACGTGGCTTCTTCCATGCTATTTTCTGAGTTGCCTGTGCTTTTTTATGGAAAGTTGGTATCAGTATTTAATTTCTTGGGAATGAAAACACAGAAACTCCCACTGCTGATGGACAGCTGTGGTCTTGCTGCCAGCACACTTTGCTGCATGGTTTCATTCCTCCTTCTCCTTGCAAGATAGAGTATTTATTCACTAATTTATTCACTATTTATATTCACTTTTTATTTATTCCCTAATGACTGCCACAGAGCAGCATTGTTTCAATTTTATAGTACTTAGCACTTTTAGCTTACAGAACACTTTCAGACTTTGTTCCCTGGGAGGAAGTTGACAGAACCCCTGACAAAGTCTGTTGCTGAACGCTGTGAAGAGACCACCCTTATATTGTTAACATCCAAATAAATGATTAAAGCCCTTTGGGTTCTTGCTTATCACTTTTGAAAAAATAGTATTTGGCAGCCACTCTGGAGTTGCATGTATCACAACATGTGTAGAAAGCTAAGCCTGGCCTCCCTGTAGGCAAAGCAAAAGAGTTAAAAATTAGTGAGATCTTATTAACTTTCAAATTCTAACTTAACCTTTAGGAATTACTCATCTGAAGGCAGATAAAGAGAATCATTGTGGTCGGTGCTCTTGTTCCCATCACACCTTGTTGCTCCTGCACATGGCACTTGCTTCACATTCCAGTAAAAGCAGACTTTCACACTGTCAGTGGGGATGACAAATAGTGCACACAGCAGCTGGCAGCCTGCTTCCTTGGGAAATAACAGCACAGATCTAAGTGCAGGAGAACAGGGGAACTCTGCTCTACTTAAGATGCTTCCTCATAAGTGGAATCCACTAGGCAGAAGTGTGGCAGCAATGAGCCTGCAGATTTTTCCTCCCTCCCTTGTCCATCCCCCACCTAAGACCCAGTTGGTCCTATCACAGCAGATTACGACATTGTCATCCCCTTCCTCCTTCTCCCCAGCCTCAGTTCTGAATCCTTCCCTGTTTGTCTCTTTTCACCCATTCAGTCTTTTGTTCAGTTTTTGACCTTGACTTGTGTCTCTGATGGCTTCGTCTGCTGCCTTTTTTGTGTATATTTCTATTCATTGCATATTTCTATTCATTCTCCCCCCAAGCCCACAGCCCAGGCCTACCTGCCCTTTCTCAACCTGTGTGCCTTACCAGTCTCTCCATGCTCAGTTTGCCTTCAAAACTCTGCTCTGCTTCTATCATCAGGATTTCTCTCCATCCCATGCAACCTGCATTGTGGTTCCAGCCATTGAAATCTCACATTAAATCTGTGTGGGCAGAGCCCTGAGTGCAGGGACAAAAACCATAATGGAAAGACCTTTCTTGCTGCCCAAGCTTACCCTGATCTCCAAACAGAAATTCACCAGGTCAGAGCTGTGACAATGCAACCTCATCTGTGCCATTTCCTGTCAGTTTAAGCACATCTGTCACAAGTAGGATTTCCTCTTCCCCACTTCCTGCCTCATCATCCCAGCAGTCATGGCTAAAGCAACAGAAGCTATGAAATCCAGGGAAACATAACAGCCAAGACAGTATGAATATGGCACTTTTCTCTGACAAGCTTCTGAAATGCTCATTGATCTAAAACTTTATTTTCTCTCCTGTGCCTTCTGCAGTTGCTCTTTCCCCACTGCTGCAGTCTCTCATAATCTCTCTACTGCATAACAGATGAACAGGAATTGGGTGTATTTGCCGACTATACATGTGAAAAAATATCTTTCAGTTCTGCCCTTTTTATTTATTGTAGCTCTAATGTTTACATTTCAGTAAACTAAGCACAGCTCTTCTGTAGCATTTGGCCTTTGGCCAGAAAATCTGCAATGAAGCTTTTTCCTTCTTGCTTGCTTGATGGTTTTCCTGCTGCCTGTGCCCTAACTAAAGCAGCACGGCCCAGCAGAGCAAAGCATTACTTAGCCCTACTTCTGTAGGCAAATTTAATGGGCTTGGCAGCTACAATTGCTGCAACTGATTGAATGCTTCATGAGGGAGCCAAAGGTGTACTCCCCATGTATCCAGATCACCTTCCTTGTTTAGCAAAACATCAGTTAAGTACTTACCTTCTCATTGTCCTCCCTGGTGTTTGTGTTCCAAGGCAGCTTCTCAAGTGTCTGCTACTATTCACATCCTTCTGGCTCCCACTGAGCATCCTGCAGATGACATCTCACATTCTTTTGCTTGAGCACAGGAAAGCACATGCTCTTTTTTTCCTTGGCTCTGCCACTTCAATGAGGGAATGGGCTTTTTGATGAATACAGAAATACACACTTCATACTGCATTTATTTATTTTCCAAGTGGAGTTCATATAACATCAAACTGCTTATTTCTCTGCCATACTTATTGGTGAGGATATTTCTGTAGGTAAAATTCAGTAATCTTCATGCACTTAGCTGAGAGAGAAGTAAAGGCCTCACTTCCCTCTGGCTCCCCCCTCCCCAGGGACAGATTCCTTTACAGGTACAGGTAAGATTACGGTACAAGATCCATTAATTTCAGCTTCAGTCTCTCTCAGTGACAACACTAGGCTGTGGATCAGATCTGACATGCCTATTTTTAAAATCCGTTAGAAATGGAAACTTTTGCAGTTGCATTTTAAATGTTCTCTACCAATCAGTGTTTGGTTTTATTTCAGGTTCACTGTCTCAATGGAAGTGGTACCAGCCTGGGCCCCAGCAGTAGGTTTCACACTCCTGCCACATGCAGGAGGATTTTTAGGAAGCAATATAACCAAAAGGGAAATCCCAACATGGTATCAAACTCTACAGAAGCCATCCTGGTGTCCACCTAACTGGGTGTTTGCTCCTGTTTGGGGAACTCTCTATACATCTATGGGGTATGTTTTTCACATTCACTGGCCTGACCTCTAAGTTCTATTTGGTATAACGCTGGACCAGAGGATATGACTGTACTCCTGTGGCTGTATGTTTGTAAGAAACTGTGTCAACCTGCCTCTTTAACAGGTAAAAACTTGTTTTGGGAGTCATGTGTGGGTTTGATAGGACATTTTGTATGCAGAAGTATCTGCATCAAAAGCAGGAGCTTGAAAAGCTGCCATTAATTTGCTTTCCTCATTCATTCTGAGGGGAAGACCTGCCAAGCTGGAAACAGCAGAGCAACGCAGCACTGGGATTTCTTCTAAGCATATTCTTCAGTAGTTTCAAGAAAATTTAAAAAAAGGAGTGGGGGAAATTAGGACAGAACTGATCTAACAGAGCTTAATAATGGAATGGATGAAACTGAATGCTAGACTGGCACTCCCGTGTTCTCTCATTTTGGTTTCATTTTCTTTCCAGAAAAGCTTTGTAATTTTTATAGCCTCATGTCCTATCCCTTCCCACCAGACTTCTCTTTTCCTTCTCCTCATACAGATTGTACTTTTAAACTTATTTAAGTAGAATACTTTTGTATTTGAAGAGTTAACATTTGAATGAGATTATTACTGATCTGTGAATAAAAATATGCCTTTTATCAAGGAGAAGAGAAGTGGGTGGCTTTCCCAACTTCCTGCAAGTTGATTGCAGAATCTGTAACCCTGTGTCTGGATTCCTCACCACAAAGCCGGGTAGCAGGTTAAATACCTTGAAGTCCAGATTGTGACAGTTTATAACTTATTTTGGTAATAGCAGAATCAGTGTATCCTAAGGTGGATGGTCTTGCTTATGTGTTATACATTCAGCCCAATGAAAAGATCATACTCACTACCAGCCTTCCCTAATCCACCATGTTCACACATTCCTTGAATGACCAAGACATTTCATTCCTCCAGAGTCTCTTAAATATTTGGAAAGCAACAAATAACTAACAGCAAGATTTAATAAGCTTACCTGTCTTTCTTGACACAGCTTCATAGATTTGTACATCACAGTATTGGTCTGAAGTTGAAGTCAGGTGTATGAACAAGTTGAAGTCCACACTGTGCTTTGGAAATCACTTAGGAAACCGAAGTTTCTAATGCTTAACCTGCCCCAACTTTATTCTGTTTTCATTATTCTCTGCAATCAAACTGCCAAAATAGCAAAGCTGCATTGTTCAGTCCCTGTGAAAGTAATGAAAGTGACCAAAGGGTTCTTCCTGCTCCCCATACTGAACTTTGCTTTGGGATCCCACTCAATACCATTCATTTTTTTAATGGTAATTGATTTCTTACATCTACTTAAAAACTGGGGTTGGATTTATTTTTAAAAAATCTTTAAAGCACCATGTCCCAATATAAAAACAAAGTTTCTTCACCGTTTGCATCTTAGACTTGTTTCCATTTCAACACAGTATTCTTTTTAAAAACAAATGCAGTAGGTTATCTGCTTCTATGCACTTTAAAGTAAGAATTCCTGCATGATTGGAATTTTTCTCTCTCCATGTTGTTATCCAGAGCAGCTGATCAAGCCTGTGCTGTCAGTTACTTTGCCAAGTAGGACTTGGATCTCTCAATCTTCCAAGTTAATCTAGACTCTGGCACTGAACTTATTTCATGGATCAAGAATGTGTGGTAGCTTTAAACAGTGTAGTGAATGACACATCCCCTTTGCTTTCTGCAGATATGGCTCCTACCTTGTGTGGAAGGAACTGGGGGGCTTCAGTGAAAAGTCAGTGGTTCCTCTGGGTCTGTATGCAGGGAACCTGGCATTAAACTGGGCATGGACTCCAATATTTTTTGGAGCTCACAAAATGGGATGGGTAAGTGGAACACTTAAGTTATTAGCATGAAAGGTCTGTGTCGTCATCTTTTCTCCCTGAAAATGGGCCTGAATACAAAACATGGCTTGCAGAACTTTTCTAAAATTCTCTTTAATGCATGCTAGCAGCAACCTGAGAGAATTTACAGATCTAGACCATCCTTAAATTGATAAGATTTCAAGCAGCTCTCTGCCAGCCTTTGATAAGAGCTTTGTGTGACTATAAAACAAACATTTATACCTTATTGCAATTCCTAGGTTTCTCTGGCAAACAGCAGTGATAAGCAGCTTATTACAACATTTTTCAGGTGATCAACACCCCTTTTAGAAAAGACTCATCTTCTGCAGCTCTCTGAAGAGAAACCACTCAATTCTCAAAATAAGAATTGGTAATACAAAAAATAAAATAGCAGTACATGCAATGCTGTAACAGGGAAAGACTCTGCAATCCATCACATATTCATTCACATCTCATCTCTTCAGGTGACATGAACAAACTGGACAGGTTTGCTTGCTCCAATTTACTCTGGGAAGTGTCTCACTGCCCACTAAAGAGGGTATGGGTGAGAGAGACTTCATTCTCCCTCTCTGTTCCTAGCTGTAATGCCCTTTCCTGTATGGTTTTATGTCTCAAAGTGGTTTGTAACTCAGCAGAAATCTATAATCTTTTTCTGCTGGCTGGTTTTCTGAGAAGGATTTAACACACAGAGGGATAGAATAGGTGTCAGAGCTAGGGGGAAAGTACACATAGGAAATACAACAAGTAAAACAACACTAATCACCTTCTGTGTTTCAGGGGTTGGTGACTCTCCTGCTTACAGCTGGTACAGCAACAGCTACCACTGCTTCCTGGTACAACATCAACAAAACAGCAGCTTATTTGATGGTTCCTTATTTAGCTTGGCTAAGCTTGGCTTCTGCACTCAATTATCAGATCTGGAAGGACAATCGCAACAAGAAAGACTCTGAATAAGCAGTTTTCAGCCAAAACTGTATTTTTTCCACAATAATTTTTTATATAAAGTTATGGCCTTAGTTTAGTTTTAGCTGAACTACTTCTGCCCTAACTTTGGTATTTACAAGTTGACAAAACAAATACAATTTTACTATGCAAGCCACAAAGGGGTGTATACCTGACTGGGTTTTATAGCAAACTAAAAGAAAGTCTTGATTGAAAAGTGGTAAGTGCCATATTCCAGTCTTATATGTTACCTGACAACAGCATTGTAACCATTACCAGAAGATAGCAGGGACTCAAATTTCCTTATGTTCAGAGGAAGAAATCCAACCACACACTAACAGTTCCAGAACAGTGTTCCTAACAGTGACAGGGATGATTGTGGCCTGAATCTTTCATATTTACCACTAGGCATAGTGCTTTTATGCTATGATATGTCCCACTACAGCCACCAGATATTTGTCTTCTGGCCACTATACTCTGAAAACGTTTAAGACAAGCTCTTTTTAACAATTTGTGCCTTCCCACTTGGAAGAACTGTACGTGCATTTAGCTAAATGCATTAAACTACATGTAAACTTAATAACGTTGTTCCTTGTTCCTTGCTGGTATTGTTTTAAATTGTTTTGAGCAGAAAACCACTGAAAGCAGCAGGATGCTACAGCCTCAAATGCAGCCCCTTCTTCTCATTTCCTCACCTTTGCAATGGCCAAGATAAACCAGGAAATTCAGAGCACCTGTAAAGAAATTGTGAGAACCCAGTCACAACATTTCTTTGATCAAATTTAAGTAAGGAGCCCAAACCATTTCGGATTCCCCTGAGCAGCAGGCCAGCATGGTGTGAGCATCACTTCTGGCTGTGCAACCCCGCTCTCCCTTCTGCCTCATCTCCACAGCAACTGGATTTTCCCAAGTTTATTTCTCCAGCCTATGCTCCAGTCAGTGGAACAAAGCAGGTTCCTGCAGACCAGCCTGAAATAGCCTCAGATATTCCTTTATGTTCCTGATTGTGAGGGACAACGTTGCTGCATGTTTGCAAAGCTGGAAGCAAGGTTTAGAACACACAATTTTATAATGGTACTTTCCTCTCAAGCACATCCTAATTGTTGCAATCTAGCTTAAATAATTACTACCCATACAATATATATGTCGTGGCAGGCAGAATTTTTTCAGCTTGCACATAAAATAGCTAAATTTCAGCCAAGTGGCCTTGATTTGAGGAAAGATTAGGAAAGATTTCAAATGGGCACCCCACTGCCAAATACCTCTCTCTTAGGCCCTATTTAGTCCAAAGACTGTTTGGGGTTCTAGCAGAGTTTTCAAAATTCCTTATTTCTTCTGTGCTGCTTCAGACATTGCCTCCTGCTCACATCCTCAAAAATCTGGTTTCTTTAAGGGGCAGGCTAAGGATGACAGCCATCAGTAAAAGCTTCCAAAATGCTGTGGGGTTGTTTTCTCTCTTTTAAAATAAGGAAAATAGGACGATCCATAAAATCTTTAGTCTCATTATCCCCATAGTTAATTGCACTGAAATGCCTTATTATTATTATTATTATTATTATTATTATTATTATTATTATTATTATTTCCCACCCACCAGAACCTTTTAGATCTTTGTATAGGAGGGGTTGATAAGAAAGAGACATGCAAACCCCAACATGATTCAGTAAATTACAGTTTTAATGTTGACACAAGGAACTTGTGCAACGTTTCCCAGCAAGCAAGCAATCAGGCTACCTGAAAAACAAGTCCTACTTTGAGGTCTCCAATATTCAATAAACAAGACACTTTGTCAACACACAACAAGGTTTTACAGAAAGAACAAAAGCAAGACAAGGACAATGCAGACAAAGGGATTATCAATACATTATAGGCATATTCTTCTGATACAATTTTTTCCCCTGGTGATCAGTACAGGAAAACAGTTGCATCAGCAGCTCATAGAACTGAAATATAAATCGTGCTGTTAAGCATATCTGACAAGGAAATTGATGGAGTCAAATCTCCTGTAGTTACACAATGCGTGTCACATGGCAGTTGTCGGTGTCATCCAGAAATAGGGTGCTGAAGACATCATTAAAAAAGGTAGGGTGGTATTTGCAGGCTCTGTCACAGTCAGGATTAAAGTTCACCTCCAAGATCTGAGGCTGCATAATTCTTTTCCCTGTCAAGGCAAAGACAAACACTGCTGCTTAATACAAGCTCTACAAAGATCCCAAATCACTATTTGTCTTTAATCCGGAAATTATGGAAAATTATTGGAAAAAGCATCTTTTGTGACCCAAACTGCCAAGCTAGTAGGGTGTTTTTGTTTCAGTGGGTTGGTGTTTATTGGAGGAACAGAAGTATTTTCTACCATCATTATCCAGAGGACAATTATCCAACAGATTCTGCAACCACTGTGCTAATTCAATGCCTCCTCTGGAATGAGAATTTGCAGCCATTCAATATGATCTCCCTGAATCAGCTGTTTTGTTTGTCAATTTCAAACATCTTCAAGTAAACTCTGCTTCTCACATTTCAGTACAAACCTTGCTTTCTTAAACCTCCTAGGTATTTAGCGGTCCTGTTCCTTTAACTGCAGCCACTCCCATCTGCCACTTCATGCCACTCCTAAAGGAAGTCAGGAAATTTAATTTTCTCTTAAAACTTCATCAGCTCTGAATCAAATGCATTCTATGCAGAGAAAACCAAAGGATTTTGTTTCACGTCTGGTGTTGAGATTGTTAAGTGAGGGAACAACCTTCTGATGGATAAGTAAATCCTACTGTGATTTGCACAGGAGCAACAAATCTCTTTGTTCAGAGGCTGCTCACAGCTTTACAGCATTGCCACTGGCATCACCCTTCACCTTCAAAAGACCAAGGACCTGTGCAGTTCATGTTCAGCCAGGCATGTAATGTGAGGTTGGTTCTTTTACTACAGTAGTTTTCCTTAATCTAGTAATGTTTATGAGCTGCTTTGCTTATCCCATTCAGGACACCTCTGGGACAGGTGAAAGAGGATCCAGTGTGGACATAGCAAAGCACATTCAACCTCTTGCTCCACCTCATCTAAGCAGCAAAGGCTCCATTTTATATCTTCTGTTTCTCAATCACTTCCCTCCATGAAAGCAACTCAATCTTCACAGAATCAGTCCCTGCAGCAGTGGCCATGGGGCACTCACCCAACACACATCTAATTGCTCTGCAGGCAAACTTGGGCACAGGCAATCAACTTCTCCTGTGTCCCAGAAAACCCAGTACCACAAGAAGAGTATGCTCAGCTCTCTTCAACACTCCCTGGCAGTTCTCTTTTTGTTGGTGCCTCTGCTACTTTTTTACCTCTACAAGAAACACATGTCTGGGTCAGGGACATTTACAGAACATTTCTGAGCCTCCTAGTGAGACAACAAATGATTCAGTCTATCTGGTAGACTTTGCTACCAGTCCTCCATCCTCCACAGCTGCCTGGAAGAAAGGCTTCAGGTAGGCAGCCATGCTGTGGCACTGACATGAAGAAGTCTCACTCACATGTTCTTGCAGAGACTTGGTAACAGCTGAATGTCAGCCCTGAGGACATCAACAGCACTGAAATAGTGAATGTGGTCCCTTCCCTGCCGTAATAAGTCACAGTGCACTGAACACTGCTCCAAGCCTGAAAGCCACAGACAATTAGATGTTTCCAAGGTTTTCATAGAGTTGAGTATTTCAGACATTTGTTTGGGGTTTTTGTGTATGTGGTGGTTTGACTGGATTCTTTTGGATCCCCCCCACCCCTCTGTTGTTTTGCTCTGTTTTTCTCCAAACAGAGAACAACAGCAGCAGGGAAAGAAGGATGCAGCCCAGCAGCTGGCAGCTGCATCACTCCTGTTAAGCAACAAGGCAGATGCTATCCCCATAGATTCGCAACTTCAGGTGTCAGTGGGAGGCACAGAAAACAGATTTCTGAAAAGGTCCACCAACATAAACAATTCAACATTCAAGTAAAGAGCTTCTCACCATCTCTGCTGGTGTCCCATTTAAGCATCAAGTCAATGGCATATATTGCTCTTGAAGATGGATAATTGCAGATGCCAAGAGGGGCAGGCTTAGATGTAGCAACTTGGAACAATTCAGCAAATGTCTTAAAAATACTTGCCTAATAACAGAAAAAGCAGTGAATTCTGAATGAGCAGTGAGGTTCCATAAAAGCAACATACATGTTTCTAATCACTTCATTCATGCAGTGTTTGAAAGGGTTTGTATCAATTGCACTACACAGCAGATGAACATTTGCACAGTACAGGCTTCCAAAATGTGCATTTAGACCTAATGCCAGCACAGAGAAAGAACTCAGCACCAGGCAATATCCATGGACTTTTCTGGGGAGCCACTGAGTACTATGGTAATCCTAAAAAGAGTGCATTTAACATTAGAATTAACCCACTTCTCAGGCATTATGCCAAATATTGCACTTATGTGTATAGGAGAGGAAAAAGAAAACCTAGGAGAGTTCTGTGAAGACCAGAAGTACAATTGTGAAGTTCTTGCTTTTTTTCCTGCCTATTCAGTTGTATTCTTGCTTTGTTTTGTTCTGTTCTGCAATGAAAAATCTTCTACCTGTTCATACCCCTAAGAAACATGGGGAGGACATGGAAATTTTAAGAATGCATTACATAGGTATTTTGAAAAACAGTCAGATATCCAATCTTGAAATGAAATAAACCAGGAAGAACACAGAGATGTGAGTTTTAGCATTGAATTTATGCTGCAGTGAACCATTCCCTCTATTTTCTGTACAGTGTACTACTTTGGATAACCTACGGGATATATTTTGACATCTCTCTTTTCACCCCTTGTAGTCTCTTTCAGACTATTTTAAACCCTGTCATATTTTGAGTATACAAGGGTCTAGTTAAAATAAATGTGAGTTGATTTAGGAAATCAAGTCACAGTTGGATAATTTATGCACTTTTGAATGAATATGCACATATAAAGGCTCAGCTATCATTCACTCTGTTTCTTCCAGCTCCTAATAAATATGGAAGAATGAAAGAATTCAGTTTTGTGCATGTTTCTGAACCAGATCTTCACATTCAGTTTTTTCTTTCAAGTATGAATCACAGGAAAAATTAAAATCAATGAGAAGGCCCTCATCTGCCTTCCTGCATGTTTTACGGAACTGTAGTATTTGGAGTTTCCTTTTTACAATCAAAAGACGCTCTGGTATGAGAGAACCATCTGTGTTCTTGTGAAAAGTCAT